TTCAAGTTGGCAGTACTGAAGCAACCAAATATGCCCAGCACATGTTAGCACCATGAATGACGGATATCAGGCTGTGAAGCGCCGTAGAAAGCTCAGAGAGCAAAACGGTGTGGTCGAAAGAATCACGAGACTCCGAGCCACAGCTCTCTAATCAATCCCTGTCCATGGTATACCGCTGCAATTCCCTCGAAAGCGTTGATGCAGGCCCCAAGAGCAGGGGAGAAGTGTGTTTCTCAGCTCTCTCTAGGTTCATAATGAAACAAGCCATGCTGTGACCTGCCGAAGTGGAGCTGTTATCAGCTGTTGCGAGAGATTCAACGTTTCCAATCCGTCGGAACTGTGACAACAATAATGCACGGCCAGCAAGAGAAATGTTGAGGTCAAATAATGTTGACTACAAGACACCACGCAGCTTGGGCGACAGTGTGACATCGTGTATGACTTAGGACATCAGCTTCTTTTTGTTGAAGCTCAGTGGCCAGTAAGCACCTTTCCTAGCTGGAACTTCCATCGCGCGCACACACACACACATATACCCATGAGCAAAATGCCTCCAGAATGTCAAAGAACGAAGGCCTATCTGATCTCCACGCATCTGCTCCATCAATGTTTGTTTTACATAAGGTGGTGGTTTGGGCCTTCTAAAATGTGGTGCTTGACATCAAGCGCTACACTGATCACGGTGACCTTTTTCAAGCACAGGTATCTTCGATTCACATAGGTGACATAGGTCTCACACCCATGCATGTCACCCGTCGAAAAATTCGGGAAAGGTGCAGTATCCAAAAGATATGCTCTGTGCATGGCTTGTGTAGGATCTGTGCATATGGGTTGGGAGATCAAGATAGCCTGAGCAAGCAGGGTGGAAAAAGTCTTTCAGCTTGGGACACGACGAATTAACAAGAGCTTACTGAACGAATTGACAAGGCATGACAACACGTTCAAGCACCATGTCATCGAGCGCGAAGCTGGACATTGAATGTGCCGCTGTTGTCACTCGCAGTGGGGTAATGCCGCGCATGAGAACAATGGCATTGGCAGGAGAGAGCTCATCAGCCAGTGCTTGTTGGTTCTCTTTCACAGTACCTTCGTTTCACAATGCGGCACAGCCACAAGCAATTAATCATTGAACGCGGTGCAATGACGCATCGCAGTTGAAGCCTTAATCGGATTTGGTGTTTTCGTGTGCTTCCGTATACTTTTGCTGCCTTTTGTTTGGAAAAAGATCATGGACAAATGCAAGGGTACGATGCGAGATGCGTGAGATCTCTTGCAAGTGTGGGTATGGCCTCAATGTGGCTGTTTGTGCCCATCACTGACAAACATGCGTTCGGCTGCAGCATACAAAGCTCAATGTTGCATGATCTGCGGTTCGAACACCAAACAGTTTCTTGAATTGAAACTTCAAGCAGCGGAGAGGTGTTACTCAGTACAAGGACCCAGGAAACGGCCATGCAGTTCTTTGAATCAGAAGCATGCTAGTTTCAGTACTGCGCATGGGAGAGCTGCTTGCACAGTACAATATCATCGGAAAAGGCCCAGGCCCAGGAAAAAGTTGTCATTGTCTTACACTTCAAGTTATTTTTCTTTCAGATATGAGACCTAGATTGCAAGGACTTTGGAATTTCAACACGTTTATGCACGTGGAGGGAAATTCAAACGATTGCAGCACCTTTGCGATAGGCGTAACATACAAATTCATCTTGAAGTGATGTCGGTTTGGCCGCGTGGACCAAGGTGTCCACTCCCTTTGATCCTGGCAGGAATCCGAGCCTACAATGCAACATCTATAAGTCTATAAGTGTGGAGGAGACTGTCCTCAAATGCAGCCGCCACAGCTGCTTGAGTTTTGCCATGAGCCACGGTT